GCTGATCTCTGCCCGTCATGTGGCATAAAAGCTTGTTTCACGCTGTCCTCGAAGTGGATCCAAGTGTGGTATTTTGACAATATTGGCCTTGTACATCATCTCTCTCTCTCTCTCTCTCTCTCTCTCTCTCTCTCTCTCTCTCTCTCTCTCTCTCTCTCTCTCTCTCTCTCTCTCTCTCTCTCTCCTCTCTTGTCTCTCTCTCTCTCTCTCTCTCTCTCTCTCTCTCTCTCTCTCTCTCTCTCTCTCTCTCTCTCTCTCTCTCTCTCTCTCTCTCTCTCTCTGTGCCTCTCTCTGTCTCTCTCTGTCTCTGTCTGTCTGTCTGTCTCTCTCTGTCTGTCTGTCTCTCTCTCTCTCTCTTCTCTCTCTCTCTCTCCTCTCTCTCTCTCTCCTCGCTCTCTCTCTTCTCTCTCTCTCTCTCTATCTCTCTCTCTCTCTATCTCTCTCTCTCTCTATCTCTCTCTCTCTCCTCTCTCTGTCTCTGTCTCTCTCTCTCTCTCTCTCTCTCTCTCTCTCTCTCTCTCTCTCTCTCTCTCTCTCTCTCTCTCTCTCTCTCTCTCTCTCTCTCTCTCTCGTGTCTCTGTGCCTCTCTCTGTATCTGTGCCTCTCTCTGTCTCTGTGCCTCTCTCTGTCTCTGTCTGTCTGTCTCTCTCTGTCTTCTCTCTCTCTCTCTCTCTCTCCTCTCTCTCTCTCTCTCTCTCTCTGTCTCTGTGCCTCTCTCTTGTCTCTGTGCCTCTCTCTGTCTCTGTCTCTGTCTCTCTGTCTGTCTGTCTGTCTCTCTCTCTCTCTCCCCTCTCTCTCTCTCTCTCTCTCTCTCTCTCTCTCTCTTCTCTCTCTCTTTCTTCTCTTTCTCTTTCTCTCTTTTCTCTTTCTTTCTCTTTCTCTCTCTCTCTCTCTCTCTCTCTCTCTCTCTCTCTCTCTCTCTCTCTCTCTCTCTCTCTCTCTCTCTCTCTCTCTCTCTCTCTCTCTCTCTCTCTCAGATAAACAAGTAATCAACATTACTGTAAAACCCAACAAGATGTAAATAAATTGAGCAAGTGAGGTAACAGATGGAAGATGGAATTGAATGTTGATAAGTGATAGACTGTACCACTGGAAATTACAAACAAGGCCCAGTCACGACAGAGATTGTTGTTATCGGTGGGGTCGAGAAATATAGACAGAGGCTTTGAAGAATACCCAACTGTTCTGCCCAGGTTTATTGAGAAGAAAGGTTTTGAAGTCTGCCAATGCATCCTGCTTCACTGATGCCTACATTGTAACTGCCTCATGCCCATGGGCAGTGCCTGGGTGTGAAATCCACAGGTCAAGCGTTTCTGACCTATAGGCAACTCAAACTCAACCGTCACGTTCCTAAGATGTGACAGTAGGTAATGGTCTCTTGCTTAACATACCATTGGCATGACATACCACTGACATTGTGTGATAAATAAGAATTGCGAGGCAGACCCTGGAGCTGTGAGTCGACCCATGCACTCAGATTTAGGTGAGTGCACAGGTATGCATGTAGGATCATTGCAAGAAGAGCGCAAACATGCTGGAACCTTGCCACTGAGACCTTATCCAAGCCTACCACTGCACATTGTTAATAATACTGGTCTACACCCGAAATGATACAGAAATAAAACTAGTCATTTTTACTAATTTTGGGTCACTGAATACAGAAATGATACCTAAAATTGCAAATTGGCTCTGTTTACAAAGACGTGGACTCGGACTGCTTGCTGCTATCCTTGACTCGGGTAGGGAGGAAAGAGAGTAAATGAACTGTACATGGGAAAGGTTCACTATGCGATACATGGAGGATCAATGATCCACTGTGGTCTGGTGGCCACAGGACTCCAGGTAGGTACACCTGTACACATGCATTGTCAAGAGGTTCAGATGTTGTTCAGAGCAGCAGTTCTGTGAGTGAGAACACTTTGTTAGTGAGAGAGGTCAAAGGAGAATGGCCAGACTGGTTCCAGCTGACAGAAGGGTGACAGTAACCCAAATACTACATGTATTACAACAGTGATATGTAGGAGAGCATCTCTGAATGCACAGCACATTGAACCTTGAAGTGAGTGGGCTACAGCAGCAGAAGACTACACCAGGTTCCACTCCTGTCAACTAAGAACAGGAAATTGAGGCTACAGTGGGTACAGGCTTACAAAAACTGGACAGTTGAAGATTGGAAAAAACCACCTGATCTGACGAATCTTGATTACTGCTGTGGCATGCAGATGGTAGGGTCAGAATTTGGAGTGAATATTTGGGATATGATGGAACAGGAGATTCACAGTGTAGATGTTCAGCTGACAAAATCTACAGAAACTGTGTTATGATAAGCCAACATGTATCAGAATCTCTTAAGAAATGTTTCCAGTACCTTGTTAAATCTATGCCATGAAGAATTTAGGCTGTTCTGGGGGCAAAGAGGGGCCCTACCCAATACTACTAGAAGGGTGTACTTAATTAAGTGGCCAGTGAGTATATATCTGTATATAAATTTTGTTGCTGTGCTCTGTGATGATGGGATATCTCCACAAAAATTCCATTGTGCTTGCATAGGATAGGACATTGTGAAAGATGGTAATTCCCAAGTAATAGTTATTCCAGCAGAGCTGGAACAACTATTGGGAATTACCTCTGAATCTCAAATACAGTGGACCCCCGGATTTTGTCTAGCGCAGAAATTGTACAATTCGTATTTCAATCACTTTTTTCGGCAAAATTTTACACGGGTTTTGTACATCCGCTTGGAAATTGTCCGTACCAGACACGTCCGCCTGGGCCGCTCATACGTTTGTGACTCACTTTTGGGCACATTAACTGTCCTATTTTATGTTAATATAGACATTTTCATTAATCCATCTATGATATTTTCTTCAAAACTATATAAGAAACATGTTATATAGCACATAAACATGCCTTTGTTACTCGCTCACTAAGTGTTCGTCTTGGGCACATTAAATGTCTTATTTTATGTTAATATAGACATTTTCAGTACTCCATCTATGATATATTTTTTCAAAATTATATAAGAAACACGTTACATAGCATATAAACATGCAATGTTTTTTAATGCCTAGTTCTTTTACTAACTTAATATAAGTTAGTGTAAACTTGACAACCCTACTCCTGTTGTGGAATCTATTGTGGCTTTGGGGAACAGATTAATTGGATTTACATTATTTCTTATGGGAAGTATTACTTCGGTTTTCATCCATTTCGGATTTCAACCGACCTTCTGGAACGGATTAAGGACGAAAACCGGGGTCCACTGTAGTTGATGAACTTTTAATGGAATACTTGGAGATATCCATATTGCTCTAATGAAGTGTCATTTCATGCTTACAGATTTCAGTACTATGAAATCCACCCTGATGTATCCAATTTTGCAACGAATATCCTCATCAGTCTTGTTAATAGTAAGTAAACACCAGGGCGAGATGTTTGGCAAGACTTTCAATTTACCCATCAGCGGTCTTCCCACTTCCTAGTAACCCCTCACCCTCCCTTCCCTCCCCATGCACCCCACCCATCCCACCTGTGGTAAGCAACACCCTGTGTAGGCACTCCTATGGGTCAGTGGGAAGTGTTTAGGGGGGGGGGGGTGGAACACCTGAGATCATAGTACCAGGGGCAGTGTGAACACCTGAGATCATAGTACCAGGGGCAGTGTGAACACCTGAGATCATAGTACCAAGGGCAGTGTGAACACATGAGATCGTTAATACAGTCCTCAGTGTCTGTCAACCACACAATGCAAGGAAATTTATTATCTGAGATCCACCGAAAAACAGATAGGAAGATATATGGATGTGATCACTATTTTGTACTTATTTACCCATTTGTAGCTATGGGAGCAGAGCTAAGCTTATGGTGTCCTATCTAAAGCAATTATTTCAGGTATTTTTATATATTTCATATGGTAATAAAATCATAAAATAATAAAAATCTTATTTATTTATTCTTTCTTGTCCTTTAATGACCTTTTCTTCTATCTTTCAGGTTTTTAACCTTTCATTATAACTCAGATATTTTAGATCTGGGAGCTATTTTGTAGCTTTCTCTCTCATCCATTTTTTTTTTAAGTGGTGACACTACACAACAGCTGCATATTCCAACAACTCAGGCTGTTGGCATCTGCAGGCCGACCTGTCCACACTGTGAGATTGACCATCGGGGTCCTAACAGTCCCTAGATCACATATGATTACAATATGTATGATAAAAAAACATTATGGCAAGTTAAAACCTTTTTTGAGGCATTGTTTTGTTTAAGAGACCAAACTTTTTTTCAGGTCTATAGAGAGTAGATGAATAAGCCATGTTAGCATAAAACAAAGGCCTTGTTGATGTTATTGGTGCAGCAAGTATAGCTGTGTTTATTTACCAGGTACACATGTGGACAAATCCCTTGTCAGTTTGCCCATGTATATGTTATTACAGCTATTACAAGGGATGGTAAAGATGACAGCATTCTCCTTGGAATGGTATTAACCCTCTTGGATTTAGGATCTTTGATTGTGGTGCAGGTAATGGTGGTGGTGATGTAACTGCCTAACCAAGTGATAAGGCTTTCCTGTCCAGAAAAAAAAAATAAAGTGAAAGAGAAGGTAGTAAGTTCTACAACCATTGGATTTTTTTTAACTTGTATCATAAACATATTAATGATGAAGGGATATAGCAAACAGTTCTGCTCCCATAGTTACAAATTATAGGTAATTACACCCTGGTTGATTTGACAGCTTCTACAGGAACTGGTTCTGTTTCCTCATTAAAACTTAAACCATTATTTTTAGTTATCTAATAATTAGTTATACGTATATAGAAAGACAACTGCCACTTCACAGTGTCTTGTCAGCTAGCAGTGATTAATTTGTAGTGCTGTTTTTTATTTAAGTAAGAACAGTTTATGCAAATCATTTACAAAATTATTCAGATCATCATGTAAATTAATCGTCAAACCAAGCTGACTAGTAAAAATGATTAAATATTACACATTGTTCCTTTCAGAGTGTGGGACTAAGGTGGTGGTCGGGGGCACAGAGACGGTGTACTGGGCAGTGCAGCTGGACGCCGACCTGCTCGACACCATTGCTGCCATCTATCCACACTGGTTTAAGGTATACTGTCATAGACTCCTATCATAAGGTCATTTATATAAAATGTGGTGTATAGTGTCAAACATAACTCCAGTTTTCTTATTTATACAATTATTACAATAATGCAGTAGTCTGCATAACAATAAGTCTTCTATTTTTTGTGTGAATAAAAATTCAAAATGGAAAGCAAGCATAATATAAAAGGGGCCTGGAGACGTGACTAATGAACAGAGAAAAATGTTATTTTAGTGCAGGAATGTCTTCATTGTTTATTCTGGACCCTATTTTCAAATTGGCATCTCTTGAAATTTTTGTGAAATTGGTCAAATTACTGATTTCTGACCACTTTATTGGGTAGTTAAAATAGGTAAATGGGTGGTTTCTTGTGCTCAATCGGCAGAATAGAAGAAATACTAGCAAAATAGCTATGAATTTGGTAGACTGGAACAATGGAATGGGCCAAAAAAACAGCGTAAAGTGGGTGAAATCGCCAATGTGTAAATATCGCCAATGGGCTCAAGTGTATTCTAACGTAATCACTCTGTAATCCGTCACCCTATAGGTCCTGATGATGCCGAATTAGTGATGGTAAACTTGTAGTAGGTTAGTAGACAGCAACCACCAAGGGAGATACTGCCGTCCTGCCAAGTGAGTGTGAGACGAAAACCTGTAATTGTTTTACATATGGTAGAATTGCCGGTGTCTTTTTTTCTGTCTATAAACATGCAGGATACCAGGTATATCTTGCTACTTCTACTCACACTTAAGTTACACTATACATGCATGTACACGCATATACAGTCTCTCCTCACTTAACCCGTAAACGGTCCATGCAGATCTACGTTCACATGTGTAGTGCTATAAAAGTAGATCTATGTTTTTTTTTACATATTTTCAAATATAACAAAAAAAAAAAGATCAAAGTTTTTTTACACATTTTCAAATGTAAAAAACCAAAAAGATCTACTTTTTTTACATACTTTCAAATGTTGAAAAAACGTATATATACGTTTGGACCGTTTACGGGTTAATGACGAAGTTCCGTCCCTAAGACCACGTCGTTAAATGAATTCATCGCTAAATGAGGAGCATACTATAATGATAGTGGGTTTGTGTCATCCATCTTTGATATTGTTTTAATGTCACCTTTGCACCATTTATAACATTTCTGGTATATTTTTAAATGTTTATACAGTAGTGTACTATATATTGAAATAAACAGAATACAGGAAATCAGCTCTAATATACATTATTTAGGCATAAACACTGGTCAGAGCGCCCATTGTAAGTCCGAGGCATCGGTAAACGAGTACATTGCTAAGTGAGGAGAGGCTGTATATACATACACCTCTAAGTTTTCTTCTATTTTCTTAAAAGTTCTTGTTGTTGTTTATTTCCTCTTATCTCCATGGAGAAGTGGAACAGAATTCTTCCTCCATAACCCATGCATGTCGTAAGAGGCAACTAAAATGTCAGGAACAAGGAGCTAGTAACCCCTTCTCTTGTATACGTTGCTAAATTTAAAAAGAGAAACTTTCGTTGTTCTTTTTAGGTCACCCTGCCTTGGTGGGATACAGCCAGTTTCTTGGAAAAAAAAAAGATGCTATCTAAAGTGAAATTAGAATAAATATCAGTAGATGCAGCAAATTTTAATTACAGTGCTGTACTGTAAGGTATTTTCTTAATTAATGACAATTTATAAATTAAAAGGTTCAAAGTAGCTACTATTACCTATCGAAAAATTGGTATCATTTGTTCAAGCACAACTGCTTGCTATATATATTAAAAAATACATAAAATTTCTTTGTATTATAAAAGTAGGAAAGAAGCCATTACAGTGAGCCATAATAAAAACTGAAGGGAAGTATTTAATCTTTGAATTCACTACTGTAGCCACAGTAGTGAATTCATAATTACCATATTTTTCCATAATTTAGCAGGGCCGGAATTTGGGGGGGGGGGATCCTTGACACCAGAATGTCTTCTCTGTCGTAAAAGACGGTATTTCCACTGAATGGATTCGGTGGATGAAATATTTAGGGAAAAACAATAGAGGAAGTACTGTTTTCTCTAGCATCAGTTCTGTTTTAGGCAGTATTAGAAAACCATTCTATTGATTTCCTTGTTTTTGCCTATTTTTTTTTTTTATGATTTAACTATATACAGTACAGTTTGAATTTTTTTAACATCCTTTGGATAATTTATTAATAAATGAGACCAAGTAACCCTGGCATGCTGGGAACTACTGAGAACACAACTAAGTACTTTCAGTGTACTCTGGAGCAAAGAAGAGAGTGCTACAGTACCTGATAATATATGCATGGAAGATATGCAAGGTTTAGTCCAAAATTTCAGCACTTTAACGCCCTCTGTGCATAATAAGGATTAAAGTCAAACCCCTGGTTGTTTTCAAGAGGGAACTTGACAAATTCCTCAAATCACTTCCTGATAATCTGGACTGTGGTGCATGCATCAGACTATGGGCAGTGGGTACCAACACCTTGATTGATTAGGCTAACAGTGAGGAAGCCTGGCCTGGTACTGGGCCGTGGGGGGTGGCGACTACGGGTAACTATGATAATAGTATACTGGAGTGAGAAATGTGAAAGGAATTGTAAAATAGACCCAGTGAAGAGTAGGGGCACCATGGGTACAATAAGAAAATACTGTGTCAGCATCTGTAGTCCAAGGCTAATTAACCTGCTATGAACAGATAACAGAAATATTGTCAGAACAAGTATAAAAGTTTTCAAAAGGAACCTGGATTCCTACCTCTGCTCAGTGCCAGATCAACCAGGTTGTGATGCTCTGTAGGCCAGTGGGCTGCCAACAGAAAGCTGCAGGGGAAGAAAAATTAAAAAGAAAAAGGTTACAGGTATATCACAGATATTGAAAGCTGAAGTTGAAAATATTATGACAAATAACTAAGACATTTGTGAAACTGTTACTTATATAACTGTGGAAGATATTAGACACTAGACTGGCCATGATAAAGACAGTCCTGTACATAGAATACTTACTGGTACAGTACAGGCATTGCTGATGTAGATACACATGCTGAAGGTGAAGACAGTGATGACTTAAGTGACAAGATTGAAGATGAACCAGTTGATTACATTCCCTCTGGTATGACAGTGGAACTGTGTATTTCTTGTTTGAATATAACATTATAGTTTCTGGGGTTAGTCATATACTGTACTATAATACCATTACCAAACAATAAATGAACTTGATTAGGGCATGGTATTCACTGGTAAAACCTAGTCATAACAGTGTGGCACAGCCCATATTTTTATTAGCATTCAAAAAATATTTCCTGGGCCTAAACCTGATGCAGCATCAGTAAAGGACCTTTGATTGATACAGAATATATTGCTGATTCAGATGAAGACCTGAATAGTGTAAGGTACTTGTTATATTACTGTCATTCAAGATTCTGCTACAGTACCAACTCTTTACCTGTTGTCAATTCTTGTGGGTTATTACCCCATTGACCCAGTCATGACCATACCTACTGGTTGATTCCCTGATCAGTCAGGTTGCTGATGCTAGCAGCACACAGTCCAACATAGGCACCACAGCCTAACTGATCAGGAACTAACTTAAGGAACTTGTTAAGTTCCCTCTTAGAGGCATCTGATGGTTTGTTGGTACAATAATTCCTTTCACACTAAAAGAGGTGTTGAGATGTCTTGGTCTCTTGGATACTGTACACTTACTGAGTTATCTCATAGGAGTGTGGTATGAGCTGAAATAAGGAATACATTTCTTTTTAGTTATGTTTCACCTTGTGCCTAATTAGAAGTTATATTAGGTATAAAAATATTCATTAATTTTAAACGGCTGTCCAGATTTGTTGTTTTGATCTTTTTAAAATTTTCTTACATGCAGCCAATGTCTATATACCACAGAGTGATGAAGTTCAAATTGGTAAGAACAATAGTCTTTTGTGTGTATTCTTTACATAAGTGACAGTATGTGCAGTGTCAATGTAGATTCGAACCTACGAACTCTGACAAGGAAGTTGTGAGTGTCTGGACCCAGCTATGACATCCTGATGCTATAGCTGAGGCCAGATACTCACAGCTCCCATGGACCTCATAGGTTCGAACCTATAGCATTACACAATACAGGTACAACACTGATTTTCCAGCACCCTTGGTTCCTAGTCTTGCCAGAATATCAATTTTGCCAGATCAACAGAGGTCACATAATAATAATTCAGCAATACACCTCTGATCTACCACGGTCTGCTGGAAACTTAAATTTAATATTAGTATAACTGAAACTGGTTTATTAATTACTATACTTACAGGCTTAAGCTTGCCCGAAATGCTCTGTTTAACAAAGGGGATTCTCACGTGGGAGATGTAATGCCATCCAGTTTTGTACAAACGAGGTACCATGTGGAAATAAACTGATTGATTGATACAAAGAATGTTGCAATACCACCACTGGAACTGTAGAGGTAATCACAAAGGTCTGAAAGTTACAGGTTGTCAGGATTACTGTCTCTTTCATAGTTGACAGTTTCATCATGAATTTGTGATGTTATAGTGAGAACATCTGGGGCACTTGAAGTTACAGGGTTTTCAGATAATAAAGGCCTACTTCTGTGACATTCTTCTTGGCAGTCTTTTTAAATATTTCATCCTGGAGTTTACCAGGAGAGAGTTCCGGGGGTCAACGCCCCCGCGGCCCGGTCTGTGACCAGGCCTCCAAATGAAGTTATTTTGTGTGCTTTGATGTTTCTCTGTGTAATTTTTCATGCATCAAATAAAAAATTCAGTAGCTCTTGTTCTTTCACAAATGAACTTTGTTCTACCCCCTAGGATTAATTCACCTGACAACTTGTCAGTAGCCATAGCTATAAACAAGTTACTTATATAGTTATTAACCCAAGCCATAGGACCAATTGTTAGCAAAATATGCTAAGAATTGCATAAAATCAAGGGATCACCACTAACAACTGCAGTGTAAACAATATAAATAAGCATGTGTTACATATGCCATCTGTGGCC